GTCCACTTTCATGTTTCATTATAATTTTCATCTCTAGATTGAATTTGGTTAGTTCACTTTCTCAGTCATGATTATACTCCATCGAAAAAATTTTTTTTTCAATTTTTCCACAGCCTTTTCAGGATGACTTAGCTTAAGTCAAAATTTACTTCAGTCGAACTTACGTAACTCCAGGTCTGTCTGTGTAAGCAAAATAATATGTATCCAGCAAAATAATAAACAAAGATGAGTAACATGAATAAAAATTGGCTCCGGTATTGTGGCTCTACTAGCAAATTCCGAAGTTTCGATATTATCGATAAAAATAACAGTTTCCGTTCAGTTTTTAGATTCATACGACACAAGGCTTAGTCTGTCGTCCTTCTGCTTCTAGTAACCAAGGGAATCGTTTAAGTTTGAGGCTATAGGGGCCTAAATTAGTCTAGTTAACCCAAATCCGCGGAATTGACACGAGGAAGTTGAACATTCAGCGTTAAGTCTTACAGTTTAACACTAGTCTATAAATCATACAGACTAATAGTGTAATAATAGATAGTATAATAAGCTAGATGAAACTGGCAAAAATATCGGTGCAGTTTATTAAACGCCGAACAGTTATGCTGTCAATCATATAATAACCGGCGTAAAAGAAAGCAACAACTGTTAAGCTGTTCGACATGCGCAGTTAAAGTCCCGCAACACAGTTTTACTTGAGGCAGTTGATCGGATCATCAGAACAAAATGAAAAGTTGTCATAAATTGAATAGAATGGTTGAATGACTCACCAATTAGTCGTACCTATTCTGATGATAAATTTTATTTGTCCATTAAAATTGATTTTATCAAAAATCCTTTAAACCCATATTTTAAGATTCCGAAAACTCTATTTACTATAAATAAGAGCTTAGCGAATATCGTCTTGTCCATTCCATGGACATATACTAAAATTGGAACGATACAGAGAAGATTAGCATGGCCCCTGCGCAAGGATGACACGCAAATTCGTGAAGCGTTCCAGAATTTTTCACTTATCACAGCAGTTTCCATCTTAACGGTATGCTTCGAATCTCAATAAAAGACATTTAATGCATTCTTTCAATAAAGATTATTGTGTGGGTTCAGCAAAATTTCTTTCTTCAACGTAAAATCTTCGTGATCTATACTTTCGGCAAAATTTTACATTTATTGTAGTTCGGTAAGGAGTGATTTTTTGCATGCTTTTGTTTTCACTGAAGGGCAGAGCTGATCGAAATGGTGACCAAATACCCTCAGATCATGGATTTGAGGAAAGTCGTACATGTTTTGGACATCGACGAATACCATAGCTGTCGTACGAGGTTGAAAATGGTGCATCATTACTACTGGATCGTTTTCGACATGGTTCGCCGCAATCTGAAGCAGCTGATCGACAGCGGCGAACCTCCGGATAACGTTTACACGTGAATCACAGACGTGAACTTCCACTGAACTTCTTGCCGAAGGCTACTAGTTGCGAAAGCGTTATTCATTGCGTGATTTGATTGATGAGCATGCTTGAAACGTTTTATTGCTGCCGAGCTGATTGACGTGCTCCAGCATCAGTAGTTGAAAGTTAATTAAGCGAAGTGCCAAATGACGCTCAGAGAAACATTGACTGATCGATCCTTTGTTTGGTTGTTAAACGAGATAAATTTTCTCCCTCTATAGTATGAAGAATAAATGTAATATCATATTTTAATTAAGACCGGACGCCGTCATGAAAAAAAATAAATTCTAATAATTAGTCACTGCTAATTTTTCCAGAATGAACAGCGACACGATTATTACCTGATTAACGGACCGGATGAAGACCCTGAGGAACGCTAAGAGTAACTTGCTAAGTGCCTCGATGAGCTCTGTTGCAGATTCGTGGAATCTTTTGTCGGTGCTCAATCGCTAACACAGGATCGGTGACGTTGAAAGCGCTGTCTGACGCGTCTGCGTCCGTGATCCGAGGAGGAGCGAGAAATTATCAATACCTGATCTAAATACTCATTTAGTATTTATGAAATGCTGTTATTAATATTATTGTCGCGATACTCTCCGTCTTAAATTTTAACAACATATCATTTATGTTGCGTGGCCACTTAGAAACAAAGAGTCTTCAACTCGAATGCAGCATGAAGAAACACTCATGGCGGACGCGAAGGCAGTGGCCAGAACAGGGAACAGTGGAATCGAATTTCCAGACGGCGGACAGGGTATTCTGGCAGACCGCTGGCCATCTCCGCGATAGAAAGAAGGACAGCCTAAGAATCCGGAAGAATAAGCCTGGATGCCCTCTTACCAAGGATGAGGACGCGCTTCATCGATGAAGAGATATCTTCAGTAACTGCCTGACTTCAAGCAACCGCAGGGAGATGTGCCTGAAAAAGAGCAGACAACGGAAATTAGTGCTTCAGTAGATGAATTCACAGAAACTGTAAAACATTTGAAAAGCGGCAAGGCAGCTGGAATCGATGAAATGCACCAACTCCAACTGTAATGCCCACGGAGCAGACACTAGTGGCCTGGAGAGCAAGGATTGTAGTATTCTGAGTAAATTGTGCTCTAGAAGTGATATCATAGAAATTGCTCCAATTATAAGGGCATTGGTACATTGAGCCTCTGGGGAAAAGTCGATGCAAAGGTACCGGAAAGGAGATACCGCGGAATAACTGACTATAAGATGCTAGAAAACCAGCGTGGCTTCAGATCAGACCAAAGAACTATTGATAAGATTTTCGCTCTACTCCACATTTTTGAAAAGTCTTGGTAGTTCGCTCAACCGGTTTACATGTGCATTGCCGACCCGGTAAAAGCCTGTGACCGGATGCCGAACACCAAGCTCTGAGCGTACCTATAGGCGCATAGGATCAATGGCTAGTTGCTACGAGCCATCCAGTCACTGTATGTTGAAAGCAGGTCAACGTTAGAATAATCTGTTCTGTCCCCTGAGAGAATATTCAGGTGCAGTCAGGGAGATGGGTGCACAGCGTAGGGGTCGTGAAGGTTAGAAGGTTGTTGTTTGCAAACGGCCTTGTTTTGTTGGCATCATCCGAAATTGATCTGCAGCGCTTTCTTGAAGGGTTCGCAGCCGAGTGAGACATGGCCGGCATACGGGTGAATGTATCTAAAATGAAAAGCCTTGAATATTGCCATTTCCCTACCCACTGCATGCGCTATCCCAATAGGCGGAAAAGCAGTTTAACAAGTGGAGAAGTCGACGTACCCTTGGGTCGTGTTTACTGGCGATGGAGGAGGTGGAGGCAATGAGGAAGAGATCGACCTGCGAATTGGAAGAGCCAACGGCTTTCTAAGTGAACTAGACCGAACCGTGGCGTCTAAGACTAAATAGGAAGACTAAACAGTCTGTCTTCTAGTCGATGTTCATTTCAATGCTCATCCACGGTGGTGACTCTTGGGCCGCGACTGAAAATCTTCGATCCCAGGAACCAGCAGCTGAAATGAGCCTTTTGAGTCGAATCTCTGAGATGAAACGTCTCGACACGATGGAGAGTACAGAAAGCCGTCACAGCCTTGGAATACCGTCGCCGCTTCCAGACGAAGAAGTCACAGCTGCCGCGGGTTTGGTCACGTCTTGCGAACGCGTCAGTAAAGCAAGGAAAAACAACTACTACTTGCCCACCCGATGGATCGAAGGCTCCGGAGACGGCGAAGAATGAACTTGGCCAAGTCCTTCGACAGACTCGGGTTATTTCGTGCAGAAAGTCAACGTAGCACAGGATAAGGAGCATTGGAGACAGTGTGTTCCGCGTTTGTTTCTGCGACCCGAAAGAATAGGCAGTCATGGAACATAAATGCCTGTTTTGTGTTTCGTGGAAGCTGAAACTTGACTGCTTAAATAGAAACAAGAAGCATTTTATTCTGTAGCACTGACAGAAAAAAATCAGCAGTTGTCTAAATCAAAAATATTAAATCAAAAATGAACGGCAGTGAGAATAAAGTAAATACAACCATGGGCAAAACTGCTGTAACTGAGTTAACGCAAGAATGAACAAGCAACTTCCTTTGCAAGCATCCGGAATCATCAGCTCGATCTGCTAAATGAACTGACAAGTTGCAGAACAGCAACGGAGAGCTGCAAGACGCTGAAATATGCTGAACTGAAATGGACGTGGCGAGCGATGTGCGTTGTAGCACCATTTTGCACATCAGGTGTTGAAATACCATGGAAATGTGGCCTGTTAAAATTGTTTCCTAAACAACTAGAACCAGGGGGCTGTGCAATGCACTGTGAAATATGCATACGCGCATTTCAGAGCAATGCGGGTAGGTGCTTTACGTAACGGCTACCTAGCAGTAAACTCCCATCAGCTGACACATGGTGGCAAGTGAGTGATAGATCATCGCGTCATTTGTCTAAAAGAGTAATTCTTTGACTCAAAACGGTAAACAGAAGCAATAAACGACTGTGCGTATGCCGCAATGCGCTTAAAACATGCGTCGAGCCGTCTGTCTGTCGAAACGAAGAGAACATCGAACAATTTAAGGAACAATGAATAATAAGTTAATGTTTTAACCATAAGTTTTTTGTCGTATCAGGTGCGGAACTTTAAAAAAAAGTTTGGCTCAAGTCGTTGGGTAGGTGGTAAGGGGAAAACGTGGCGCGAAGCGTGAGTCAGTGCCAGCTGAACACAACACCAAACTTGTCCTAGTATTCAACTGCTAGCCGTGCAGCTGCTGTTGTGCAATCGAGGCACTCAAAGCCTTGCGGCAGTGGTGGCTGACGTTAGGCGCAGACCGACGACGACCGGTTGGCGTGCGTTCGGTCGTCCATTCGTTCGTCGTTCGTTCGTTACTGCTTTTCTCGTGCGGTCTCTGTCTGATGAACGATCAACCTCACCTAGCTCTGTAACGGCCGTTGAAAAAACGGTTTTTGTTTCTGTGTTGAGGAACGAAATCCGGAAGTCGGAGTGCATCGTGTCGAGGCGTGTCTGTCGGTCGTGTCGGTGACGTTGCTTTGATCTTGACTTTGTGCTTTAAGTTATGCCGCTTAGGAAATGAACGGCTTCATCGTCGTGTTGTCGGTGCTGTGCCTTATCGTGGCCGCTGGCGCCAAGGAACAGTGCCTCACCGTGCGAGGCAAGGTCTCGTGCAAAGGCATCAAGGGCGCCTCGAATCCGGTGTTGATCAAACTGGTCGATAGGGACAGGGGTAGTAAGCCGTGTACAACTTTTGTTTGCGAGCACTAAATCTGATCAGGTAGATCCGATGACCTGATGGACGAAGGCCCGGCCAGCAAGAACGGACACTTCCAGCTGCACGGTTGCGCGTCGGACCCGATCGGTGACATCGATCCGGAATTGCACATCTACCACATGTGCAAGGGTGACGGCCGTGAGCTGCGCCTGGTCATCCCTCCGACGGCGCTGAAAGCGAAGGATTACACGGTAGACCACACGATAGACCTTAACGCGGACAGTAAGGACGAAAAGAAGGTCAAATACCCGGTGAAGAAGTGCTCTGAGGTTCAGAAAAGCTCCACCGGTAAGCCTCCCAAACGGTCGAAGCGACAAATCGATTGATCGCCGCCACGCCGTGTGCTGTCACGCTTTACTCACGCTTTTTCTTCATTTATGCTAATTGAATTGCATTTCACTTTCTTTTCGTTTCGTTTCGTTTCAATAAAGTTTTATGATCATTTCTGTTTGTTGATCGAAGAAAGGGAGTCAAACACAAGAGTGTCATGCGTGTTATTCGTCGTCAGTGCCTCTGGCGAAATCCAATTTCCAGTGATCGTCAGGTGTGTTCCTGTTTTTAGTTCCTCGCTCGAAAACTCGGTTTCGGCATAAATCCGATGTCAAGCCAGTAGTGTAATAAATTACGCCGTTACTCCGATTACCGACGTTTTTCTCCTTGCTGTAAACTACGGGTTTTCACCCAAAATCCAACAAAGCGTTTAAAACGTAAACGCAGAGCAGCAAGCGATCGTTAATCGCTGCGAAAGCAGTGAAATCGAGTCTAACGCTGTAAGTTGAACGAACGGAGAACTTTGACGCACGAACAGTGATGTCCAAGATCAAACCAGTCTATCTCATGACTCGTAATTTATTTTCCATCGTTTAAAATTAATGTCTGCAGAATGGAGGTCATGATTTTTGGCATATTCCGTTAAATAGGTGAATTTTCCATTTTCAAATTTATGTTGTTTTTTGCTTTTTATCGACATTCTCGAATCATCGACGTAATCTGAGGTTAACAGAGCTCAGACAGCAGAGTTACCCAGATTTTTGATATCTGACAGTTAGAAATTGTACTTTAAATTCATCATTTGAACGTCATATTTTCATTTCTGTCAAATCACGTTTTGCGAATATGTAACCTGCTTTTACGACCTGTTGAAGTCAATGATAATCGGCTTGAAGATACGCAAAACTGGCGCAGCTGTTAACTTAATCTCTGCAACGGAGAATCGGCTCTGTGAAATCAGCAGAAGAGCAGTATAAAAGTAAGGAACATTCTTTTGGAAGATGAAAATGTTCTCATTTGAGTAAAAGTACCTTTGTCCATGGAAGGTTTTCAATCATGACTGCTCCAATCGCTAACTTATGGATGCGACGCGTAAATCTTAGTCTGAAAGCTATTCACAGACTGCAGATTACGCAGCAAAGTACGGAAAGGTGAATAACCAGAATAACAAGAAAAGATGGGGGACGAATGAATGGGTCACGGCACAAACAGCATTCTGCGCAGTCATTGTCCGGGTGACGAATTGAAGTGGCAATTTATAGGGAACGCTACAAGAATAACCGGCTATCGCTGCACCAACGAGACAACAGACTTGGTTCCAAGAAAGAGCAAACCGTCTGTGGCAGGACATCGAGACCGATGAAAGATCTGCCGACGAAATTCGTTGAATGAAGATGGGTAAGAATCGCAGAAAACGGAAGTTTATGGCAAGTTTTGGGGGGGGGTCTTCATCCATTCATCCTGTGAGGATTGAGGATAATGAGAATTTGGTCTTATTTAAGTCAG